ACAGAAATCGCTCTTGAGTTCAGAACTTTATCATCAGCTCAATTACATAGCTGAACTGCCAAATGATTCATAGAAATATAAGTAGCTCAGTAGGTAGCTCCTAACAGAAACGGTGAAGTTCAAAGTTTACTGCTTGAAGTGTGTCCCAACACAACCCTATTTATAAACATAGCCAAGACGGGATAAATAAATAGCATAAAATATTTAGTTGATAAGATAATTTATACATGAATAAAACATACGGAAGATATCGCACAGATCATAGCTGAATCAAAACTGAAACAATAAATCCTGTTATACTGAACATATTAAAGTATTGCTGATGGACAACTTCTGTATCTCTGAGGGTTCACGCCGAAGCTGGGACAACGGATTATCTAAACAGCTTAGTTCGAGAAGATGATCTGGTGGAGGCACATCGTGACGCACCAGACAAAGCTGCTGTGCAGTGAGAAGGTAGGGTTATCCAGAATCTTCGTGGTCATCTGTACAGGTTGACCGACAGCAGATTTGGCTAGAGATATTGCAAGATCTCTGTAATATAGGCTGAGTAATTTGGGAGCTAACTTTAGTGATGATTTTGAGGTCAAACGCCTGCTGCCAAGAGGAATACAACAACAGCATCATACGCAGACAGGAAAATGATACAAGCGAAGACGAAGTTCCTAACCGCATCTCGCAGTGTCCTTTGCTGTAACAGTCCCGTCTTTTGCCGTAAAAGCAAGCCTTGCAGCAATGTTTCGCAATAAGCTGGTCGTGCTCATGACAGATAAGGTCTGATGAAAGTATCACGCAGAGGTACTTGATATGCTGTAACTGGGACACCAGCAGACTGCTAACGACCACCACCTCAGTGGAAAGCCGAAGCAGAGCAAATATCAAAGAAAATTGAAATTCTCGGTTCAACCTTCATCAGGGTAATAAGAAAGTATGCAGTAGACATCCTGATAGTTTTGAACAAGACATAGCAATTCTGAAATTATTAGGGCACTATAAAAAAATAACTTTAACTTTGTCCGAAACCGTACATAATGCCACGCCAATAAACGAAGAAAGACATTAGCGTTGTGTTCTGCAATCGTAAAATTACGCATTATAGTGCCATGAACCATCTGCGAGGTGACTGATCAGAACAATGTAGTCTGCCCCCCTCCAGGAAACACCAACAACGCTAGATTTGAAAACTGACAGGGCCTATGAATTAATTACTGTAACGCGCAAGTACATCACAGATAAAGCCAAACCGAATAGTTTTTTGTAAACCACTACAGGAAGCAAAATAAAACAAAATAAAATAAGGTCGCGCATATCAAAAGCCAAAGATTCAGTTCTGTTGCAAATTAGACAGATGAAATATATTTGATGAGTTTTTTCTAAGAAGAAGGAGCTGTTCCATTTCATCACTATGTCATGATCTACAGCGGGAAATGCTAGTCCGGTACAATTGCCGACAATAACAGACTCATCATGTAAGGAATTGTGAAGCGAAATAGGGACGTACCTAATAATGTCATGTTTCTAGCGCAGAAATTCGACAAAAACTTAAATTTAACGCAAACGTTCCACACCATAAGGCGATTAACTGATCACGTGACTGGTCTAGAAAACGACTGGAAGAATACTAGATTTCTTCATGAAAAGTATAAACGGGATCTGGGCGTTGTCTTTCTTCGATCAAAGCTTGCAGGCTTTAGTTTATTTGAGTGAACATATCTTTTCATTCTTTTACTGAAACAGTTTTGTTTGGATTCAGCGAGTGTGCAATCAGTTGAATCCGGAGCTAACTCCCCAACGTACTTGCATCCAAAGGTGGCAAGCTACCATTTTCAGCCGCACGGAAGCCAACTGGTAAAAAAAAGATTTTGCGCGGGATACAGTGCAGCGGTCAAAAGGCAAAATCGATTGATAGGAGGAAACGTTCAAAATCATCCAGGCATGGATTTCCGAAGTAAGTAAATAAATTGTGAATAAACACTTGCTTTTTGAATTCACATCTCTCATCAGAAAATTATCACCATTAGCTTACTCTCTTGCATCAAAACTGAACTCATTAAAACATGCATTAGAAGAAAGTTGCAGCCTAGCAGCAACGCATAGCTCGTCATCCATAAATTTGGAAGATAACTAG